CCCCTCGCTTCAGTGAGCTGTGTACGCCGCTCGTTGGTTGTATAGCGCTATTACGGCACTGAAAACGCATTGACTCTGCGAGGCTCGTTCGAAAGTTTACTTTTTGTCTGAATAAGATACCACTGGTGAAGAAACGGACGGAATCTGAGGTGGTCGTGTAACCTGAACGACGTTGTGAGGAAGCGGAGGCAAAGTGATCGACTGATCGATGACTCTCAAGGCGAGTGGGTTCGGTCAGATTGCGATGCATGTCCGAGAGTGCGTCAGGAGGAACGTGAACATTTCGATTAATTTCACTCGTAGTGCAACGTGGAAATGGCCTGGCCTGGCCTGGCCTGGCCTGCTGTGCTGTGCTGTGCTTTGCTGTGCTGTGAGCGACGACTGCCAGCGCTTTGCGTGCAAAAAGCGATCGCTTTGCTGGAACGCAAAAGGGCGAGAGTGATGATCGAATAGACGGGTGGTGATTTTGGACGCGTGCCGCCCGCCGAAAGGAGGCCACTGCGGAAAAAACCGAACCGCGCAGTGTAAAGTCGCTGCCTGTAAAGTAATGCGTGGCTTTGACTCTCGAGCAACGGTTGCCCGCCTTTTCGCCATTTCTCCAACTGGCCGTCCAAAATCCTGTTCCTTTCCGGGCTTTTCGACCAGGGGAACCGGCATTTCTTTTGCCGTTCGCCAAGCGCCTCCGCCATTGCCCAACCGGCCGGCATCCATTTTACTGCCAACTTTCGGCATCGGTATCGGCACTGAGGAGGATTTGCTTTGCACTTTTGAGATGCGGTACTCAAATCCTATACTCGGCGTAAATTATGCTCTCTGAATTTCCGAGTCAAGTGGTTCTCAATGCCGCAATGCAAGGCTAATGGCTGATGTTAGGCAAGACTTCACTTCTCTTCACCTTCCATGACGTCCCCGATCCTGTGCCAGAGTCTGAGTTTCGGCAGAAGACGACTGCTGTCTGGAACAGACTCCTTCAGTACACTTGCACCACGTACGCTTTGGCCGTCCGCTGGATGCTCTGTCGGTCGGCTGGGCAAGTAGTAATTGGCTCGCCTTCGTTTATGACGGCGGGCACAGCACGTGCCCAAACCATCGCAACAGTGACTTCTCAATGTGAACAAGCAGCGGCTGTACATAAAATTTTATTACCTAAATGGTCCTTAATGACCTGATGCAAAGCAATGTATTTTGCTGCAGGGTTGAACGTTCATACCGCTGTTAACTGATATGGAAAAATTAAGTATTCATTAGTATTCATATGCCTTTTTATCATTCTGTCGTAGTTATGAACAGCATTGTGTAACGGTTCAAAAACAAGACTAGGATGACTTCGAATTCTCTACCCGATAAACTTATTATGAGGTGTATTCATGTATAACGTGGAACACGCTACGTCATTTCTTCATGGGGAGAGGGGAGGATAATAATATTTATATAGATGTCACAAGTAGGTAAATTACACACAAAAATTTTGCTCACAAAATTCTCACTCACACAATTAAGGTTTGACATCGAATTCAGAGAGTTTGAGTGCGTTCACCGATTATGGAAAATTGCAACGCCGCTTTGCCAGAGGCCAAGATTCGTTGCTGCAATGAGTTTAATGCAATCTTGGTAGACATACAAGGATTGTTGCATGTTCATGTGCAGCAACCCCGTTGAATTGTTGCTGTCATGATGAAGGATGTAGAGTTCACGATCCGACAAAAATCAGCACTGTGTATAATTTACTTACCTGTGACGTCTATAAACATATCACCATCTATACGTGACCTCAATGCCTCCTCATTCTCCTTACCACATAAAACTATTCTTCACTCCTTCCATATGAAGTTTCATGACAGATTGACATTTATAGGTTTTGCATTGTCTTGATAAAAATTCAGCTATCAGGAAGAACATTGCCTATTGGCGCCTTATCAGAGGCTCGGATGTACTAAACCACGGAACCTGTTTGAGTGTCATGTTTCGTGCAATCCATTTTTAATTTTACTGCCCTCGGAACAAGATGTGATCAACTGAGTGCATATACTGAAATATGTGAAATCCAACTTTCAGGGGGTTTGCACACACATATCTCAAGACGATTCGAAGGATCAAGTTATTCTTTATCAAGGATATTTTTTATATGATATTTATATTCATTAAACTTACACGTCTGACAGAATCTAAGGTTCTCAACACATAACTCTGGAGTTTATGGATCTTCACCTATCTCCAATTAGGGGCCACTGATCTCATTTTTTAAGATAGTGATTGACTGTGGCAATGCCATCATCCCGGGGTGTATTTGCTTGCTCGCATTTAAAGCATCAGCATCAGTACAAAGTTCTAGTGAGGTGATTGACATCTCTGTCTACATCCACTATCGAACATCACTGCGACGCAACGCGAGAAAGTTTCCACTTACGGGATAGGTTACACCTCATGCTGATTTATGATCGCTTATCCGTTGGGTGATCACAAATTTTAGCCACAACGTGCCACAATTTCGCAAGCTCTGGCATGACCTGGTCTAAAGAAGGTGCCCTGTCCACTGACTGGCGAAACTGAAGCCTCAGTTGGACTCAAGCTTGCACTTTTAGCAATGCCAAGCCGAATGAGTTCGCTTGCGCTGCTGACCTCCTTTGCCCTTCGCACTTGAAAATGCAAATTCAAAACGAAGGTCGAGGTTTGGACATGAGGTGATAACCTCATGAGGTCGAGTCACACAACGCCAT